TGTGATGGGGTTTTGATTTTTTTTTTGGGGGGGGCGGGGTGTGGGTGGGTGTTGCAATTAATATCAATAAATAGCAAAGAAGAGACAATTCTTTATTAAATGAAAATGTAAATAAAACCTGTAAAGGGCTGTTTCCTGCAGGATGGATGTAATACAGGCAATGGGATGGGTGTAGGCAATTCTGCCAGTGCTGGGCAGGTCATGAACTTTTGTATATCATATCCAGATGTTGTCTAGTAAACATGTCGAAGATTTTTAGGAGACTTTTCGATCATTCAAACCCTGAAAACATGACCACTCGTTTGTAAAACATGACCACTCGTTTACGAAAAAAAATAATCACTGTGGTTGTTGAGATTCACGACGTACTTTTCCAAAAACTGGGTCTACCTCAGATGGCCCCTCCATTTGGAAAAAAAATTGGGTCTTACCATTAGAATATTTCAAGGTCGTCTACCCTTAATATTCTATCTCTATGCATAATATTATCGAAATTAATGCTCTTCCAATCATCTTATCTCATTAAATTAATAGTTTGAATGATAATATATCTGGGGGTTAGTTAGGCCATGAATCTGCAGTTAGAAAGTAATGCAATAATAAATACGTCATTCATTTGATTATTCAAAACTCTCGGGCAAAGAACATTTACTAGCTACCTCACTTTGCTCTGATTGGAAATCCATTAGAAATCAACCCACGTGCATGTTTATATATTCATAAGTTAGAATTAGTCGAAGAACTTGTCAAGGCGTGTGATTAATTCTGCAAGGGTGTTGGTAATGTTAGAACCACGCATTGTTTTGTTTTCTCGTTCTTGTGGTGGACCTTATCTCCAGAACAGTCAAGTTGCACATTGACTTGGATGTTTTGGAAATGATAGATCTTGTGAAGATGATGATGTGATTGAACCGTGTATAAACCACAACTGTTAATTTGTACTAATGTTGAGTGATCCTGGTCCACAGGGTAAGGATGCGTAAGAGTAAATAATAAATTTTTATTTTTATTTTTTATGTTTTTTGGAAGGGGGAGGTGGGGTCTGAAAGGGACAATCAAGTAAACCAAAAAAACATGAGTGTAGAAAGAGGAAGTACCTAGTCCGTGTCATGAATCACGACATTGGGTTTTTTGCCAGTGAAAGGTTGTATCAAAGGAACATGGAGGATGCCCATCTTTGCCTGACTTACGAATTTCAACATCTTGTTGCTGTTGTACTTGCTTCTCTGCAAAAAATCTAATCAGTGTTCAATGGCAAATATGTCATGTCAAAAGGAATACAAAATAATAAAAGCAAAATTACAAGAGAATAAACTTTAACCCTTTTTTAAAAAGGGTTAGCGACTATTAATTAATTCACTTGAAACTTTACTTGGAGGTCAGTTGCACTAATTAAATTATTATTTGGGTTACTCCATTGCATGCCACTATGTGTTCAAATCTTAAGTAACATGTCCTGTTTGACAGCAAAGTCTTCCTTTAGGTGGAAAAAGAAACATGGTTTGAATTCAAATTCCCTGTCTTTCAACTCAGTTATATCTAACCTAAGGAAAAATATGATATAAATGGTTACATATGTGTGGAGGGTGAGTAAAGTTTGTTCAAGGGTCCATGTTTGCTATTTATACATTGATGGGAAAAGGTTAACAAATGGTATGAAAAATGGCGTTGGTTTTGTGTTTTGGGTGGGGGGGGGTGAAGGTGAAGAATTATTGGTAAAAGCAGTGGAACAATTGGAACACAAACAGGACCACCGGAAGGGAGGAGTTTGATTTTCATGTGTGTCCAAACAAGGCAGCCAACTATGGAACATTTGCTTCCTTTAATAAGATTAATTTTGAATAGCCGCGTGAAGAATTTCTCTTCAGCAGCTGGCACAACGATTTTTCCCACTGATTTTGCCCCAGAGAATTTTTTTAAAGAAAAAAACGTTATTAATTAAGAAGAATAACAGAGTTTATATTTACGTACATTCATATCAATATTGAAAACATTCCATCTTAGTAAGAGAATCTGCAAAATTATTGGCTTCCCTTTACATGAACAAAAGAAAATTTTCCTAAACAAAACATAATACCTACAAAAACTTTTAAATTAATTCAAAAAATTTAAATAAATTTGTTTTCTTTTAATATATTCAATCAAGTTTCTGTATATTTATTTTGAGTCAAATAGATTCTTATAATTGTATTTTGCATGTTTTGATTTGATTTTCTTGAAGCAAATCAAGTCATGTATTCATGATTGATACTTACAAAAATTTTCATTTGAATGAATATAAAAAAAAATACAAATGTCACACATTTATCATGAATATAAAAAAAATTCAAATTTGAATATTACTTTGACCTTAATTACCATCCAAACCTAATACAATCAAATCTCAAACTCGGTTAAAAGATAAAGTTTCCTCATTGAATATCACCTTCCAGAGAAAGCCACAAAATTTACCGTAAAGAGAAAAGTTCGCGAAATCGGTTTCTAATTCTTGTTAGTAATTAGAAAGCACCAAGATGAGAATAACAATTTTGAAGACCTGAAAATTGGCCAAGAAAAGTTCCACCAGCTACTGAATTTGCGCCAAGAGGAAGGACAGCATAAGAAAAAGATGATCAAGTGATTCTGATTCAACACAAAAAACACATTTATTGTTTGATTCCTTAGACAGCCTCTTTTATATGTAAAGACGTCAATCACTGAAATGTTAAGCTCCTAATATGCTTTCCAACAAAAAGTTTCTACTTTTGAAAGGACAGATGGGAAGGGAAAGGATATGGTTTCACACTTTGATCACCTGGACCGAACGGCAGCAGGCACTTATGGTCTTTCTTTCCTTCAGGTTGCTTTCCTGCTTTCGGATTCTCCCTTAGTTGCTGGTCCTACTTTTGTTGCTTGTACCACTTTTCCCTTGATCAATGTTGAACCCCCCACCCCCTCCCCTACGAAAAGAAAAAAAAAATGTGAAATTATAGACAATAAAATTGAAAAGAGAAGCAATGCAAACCCAATTTTCAATTTTTTTTTCAGGACCCTTTGGTGCTATAATCGTGACAAAGATAATCTTAAATGATGAATAATATTAAATGATTGTTGCGATAAACTATTAATAATGTAAATATTTTTTTTACTAATCTATGTTGGTAAATTTAAAATTTTAAATGAAAGATGATCAAAAGGTAATCATATTGTATATGTGATATTTTATATCTATAATAATACAAAGAATTAAAAATTGAGGAGTGACGGCTGCCATCGCCTGCCATCCCTTGGCTCTGTTAGTGTTTGTGAGGTTTTCTATGACCATTTAATTAATACAATAAACTCTGTTTGAATAGCAATAAAGTGTTAATAATGTAAAATTAACACAAGGGCAACTAAGTTATGCCAGTTAATAGTAACTAGCTAGCTAGCTAGCAAAAGAATTGGATTAATTACCAAAAATGATAGTACGAGAGATGCCGCTAAGCCTAATAACATTCCTATGCAAAATACCAAAAGAGTGACTCGGATTAAATCATTTAAAAAAATTTAAAACTTATCTTGGAAACTTTCTTTCAATCTTCTTTATATATCTCTTTCATCTGTTGGAAGGCAGAAAGGCCTTCCAAAAGCTTGCAAACATATGACTTGAGAGAGTCAAACAAAAATGCTTTATATTTGATTCTTTATCACCAAACCGCGTGCCCCATAGAAATATATATATATATATATATATATATATATATATATATATATGTATTAGCTTTCACTCTGGTATCTAATGAACGTATAACTTTGCTATTAGGAGAAAAAAGCATAACAAAATTTTGTATGGTCATGATATGACCGAAACCATAAATAATTTTCTTTGATGTCTCAATTTTTCCACATGGGATGACTCTGAAATGATTGGGGTTTTCCCATCCTAAATATCAAGGCATTGGTGTCAACGCCGCACTATTTTTAGTGAGGAAGTGCATATGCCAACACAAAAGGTGAAGTATAGCTAGAGTTTGAAAGAGATCATGTAATAGGAGAATGATGTTGATTATTGCAGAATGTCATTTTCTTTTTCTCTTTTGACTCTCTAGCTATATATAGGTTTCATCTAATTCATTTGTCTTCCATAAACCTTGGGACAACAAAAACTATATTATCTAAACTTTAGGTTTCCCTAATTCATATAAATTGAAGTCATCAAGTGTGCATACATATATGGGATAAGGGTAATTTAAATAAGCCAAAAATGTTCAAAATGTTGAAAAGAGTTTTATATTTTGATAATAAGTTATAGCCGGGAAGTCAAATATGATCTGCTGGGTCCTTACATTTGGTTACGTTAGGAGTCATGTTGAATAGTTTCAAATGCATGGGAAGTGGAAACAAAGTATACGAAAAAAACAGGTTAAATCGTAGGGTACATAGCTTAGCAAACAGCATTGGGAAATAAAAGTAACATGCACTAATATTATGATAGAATTTTGAGATTAATGAATGGAGAAGAAACTTCTTTTGCATCATTGAAGAAACCAAAGACCAGATGGGAACTAGTTAGTTTAATTTTCTAAAGATACACAACAGGAAACAGTATTTGGATTGAGATATCAAATCCATCTTTCACTTTCACTTAACATTTTTAAAGAAGGGGCTAAGTTCTTTTTTTGTCTCTTAACTGCCTGCCCTGCCCCTTCTTAATTTTTTGTGTGTCTGTGTGTGTTTTTGCAACACTACTTTGATCTCTCAACAACAGATTGATCAAGACTGTTGGGGGTTTTGATGGATGACTAGCTTCTTTAGAGAAAGTATCATCCGGGTGTGCCCTTGGACAGTCCATTCAAAGAAAAAATATATATGGGGTAAAGATTTTGATGTTGGTTTTAACGGCCATGAAAAGAAAAACCCCCTTATTTAACTCTTGTAATAATTCATAAATTGACCCACCCATGGAACCCTTTTTTTTAATTTTTTTTTCTTCCATGTGGGCCGTCTCTGTGGTCTATTATTAAGGCACAGTTGTAGTGACAAATTGCAATGTCTCCCACAAAAGTGGGAATATAAAAGCAAGGAATAAAGATATGGTTACTCTTCAAAGCATGAAAACTTCACACTCCATTTCATATGTTGACCGTGTGGTCCAATCATTTTTTTTTGGGGTCATAATAATAGACTATTTAGATCAATAAAGTAGTGATCATAACAAAAGAAATTAGAATTTGTGCTTTATTTTCTCAACCCTTTTCCTTTTTTTAGTTGATTAGCTCTTTCCTTTCTTCAACTATTCCCCTCAAGCCACGTAACTACTCAAATGAAAAGAATCGTAACTAAAACTATTTGTAGACTAAAGACTTGCATCAGCATTTTGTATCTCTGCAGAAATTAATATTAACATTGCCTTAAGAAATAAGAAAGTAGAATGGGTTTTACTTGCTAGTTCAACAAATTGGATTTTAATTAGAGGGTGTAGATCGGTCTTATTCAGCTAACCCTTTCGAGGAATGAAGGGAGGAATTCCCATTGGCTTAATTGTTCAAGAAGCGCGTGTTGCAAAAAGTATACGGTGGAAAATGAATTTGAAATGAGTACAACAAGAAACAATGACTGACACAGAAATAGGTCACCTTAAAACTTTCTTCTCCTTCCATATT